GGATTTGCAGTGGCATCTGCCACCCCGGTCAGGCAGAACTGTGACACGCAGCCATGACTGCGTTGTCCCTACCTTGGGGTGGACAACTCACTGGGTTCTATGGTACTTCCGACTCGGGTCAAACAGGCTGGGCAAACTTCAGTCGTAACTTGGCTTTCTGGGCCATCTCTACCATAAGAAAACGGGCTGCCGGGGTCTAGACTTCAGTTCTGATGGGGGATGAGATCAAGGATGGGAAGCCGGGCGGTGGTGGCACACTCCTTTAATCCCAGCACTCGGGAGGCAGGGGCGGGCGGATCTCTGTGAGTTCGAGGCCAGCCTGGTCTACAGAGCGAGTTCCAGGACAGCCTCCAAAACAATACAGAGAAACCCTGTCTCGAAAAACCAAAAAAAAAAAAAAAAATCAAGGATGGGAAGCCAACACGTGATGGCCCCTGCACGGGGTCACCAGTATAAGCCCTCAAGATTCTGACTGCCAAGTATTTACTTCCTTCTTCAGGGACCCTCAAGCTTAGCTTTGGAACCAGCTACCCCAGACCACATGGTTTGAGCAGGGATGCCCAGGGTTTGGGCAGCAGATCAACGGGTGCCACCTTGAGACACGATGAGATTTTGTTTTCCTTGCATGGCAAATCAGGAGAAGGGGACCCTAGTGGCTTTCTTGGTGGGCAGCCGAGGGATGAGTGGGAATCCCTAAAACTGTGGCCAGGAGCCGTGCCTGAGCCAGCACCATCTGGATTTTTCCGTGGCAAGAACCCTTGAATTCCTTTTCTGCTCAAACCAGTGCGAGTCGGGTTTCCCTGCTGACACACCTTCTCACCCAATTCAGACCCCAGCAGAGGCAGACTCTGCAAAAGCCCAGTAGCCCCAGGTGCACAGCTGAACATCTGCACGCAGCCGCAGCCGCCTTTAAGAATAGTGCCTGAGGGGAGACCTGCCTGGCTGAGCCTGGCTGCGTGAGCCTCGGGGGATGGGCTGGGTGGGGCCTGGTAGAGACCAGCAGAGAACTCAGGTTGGGAGCAATTGGGAGCCATTGGGATTTCTGGATGGGGGGCGGAGCTTTGCACACGGGCCAGGGATGCGTTGAATGTTACGTGGGTGGATACGCAAATGTTACATGGTTGCAAGCATACTCTCACACTGATCTTTAGAAGCAAGAAGCATTCTGCCGGCCCCACTCCAGGAGTGCCTGGAACTCCATCCGGTGCGCAGACTGGATGCTGGCTCTGCAAGGCCCTGGGCTCAGCAGGCTCTCCCTCCACCTGGCACTGTGTGCTTCCCAGCAAGGCCGAGGAGGGTCTCTTGGGCCCTTGCAGGAGCACGGGAACAAGCCTCATAGCAATTCCCACTTCCATGAGGGCTGGCCTTGCGGGGGGGGGAGAGACAGGCTCAGAAGGAAGCCTTTGTTCTGATGTCCAGGGTGTCCTGGGTAGTAGAGACTCCCAGCAGGCACAAGGGTTCAGCCACTGGGGCACAGACATTATCCATGAGCAGAAGACCTCACAGATGCAACGACTCTCTTGGGAGACCTGGGAGTGAGGGCTGCGGGGTTTCTATGTGTGCAGAGGTCAAGGGTAAAAAAACAAATAAAAAAAAAAACAACAAAAAATGGAAGCTCAGTCCTTGGCGCTCCTAGAGAGTGTCCCACGCCACAGTCCTTGCTTGGCTTCTGGCAGACTCCCGAGGCTCGGGCACATGCTGGACCGGGTGTCTGGAGCCATTCCTGAGTCTGCTGCGTCTGCTCCATCCCCCTGGTGGCCCTCTCTCTCCCTGCCTGGCCTTTTACCAAGGCCGCTGGTAGCCTACTGCTCTTCTGACTCATTCCCCTCATCCCTGTTGATCCCAAGTTTCTGCCTCTCTGATGGGGCCAGGACTCGGGCCTGGCACGTGACCCCTCTCTGAGCTCAGCCCCCATCTCCACGCTGGCCCCTGCCCCGCTTGCTCTGGCCAGAGCCAAGCTGCCCTTTGCTCTGGAGATGCCAACACCCCAGGGGGCTGCTGGCCTGCATTTCCTTCCTGGGCCTCTAGAGCCTGTGTTACTGACTCTTCCCTCGGTCGGTTGGTCTGGCCACCAAATAGGGCCCTGGGGGAGACTATGGAACCAAGACCTGTGTCTTAGCTCTAAGTGGATTCCTCCCGTCAGCCTCAGCCGCCAGAACCAACCCTATTGGCCAGGCCTGATCTGTCCTCTGGGATGCCCGGAGGCCAAAATGTTCTCCAGCCAGGGAGGAACAGATGGAGCGGGAGATGCAGGTCCCAACAGAACCCAGGTCTAACCTATTAGAGGCAGGAAGAGGGTCCTGCACCTTGTCACCTGCCTCCTGTCACCACCCCTGGGAGGATGAAGTCTTAGGGAAAAGCCTTGCCTACTGACAGATGGGGATCTTGCCTGGTGGCAGCAGATGCTGGACCTCCATGAGGGCGGGGAAGGGGCACCTTCCTGCTCTGGGAGCCCCTGCCTGGCCTGCGGGCCAGGACTTCCCACTTCTCGCTGCGTGCTGCCCAGGTCAGAACCCGCTGCTGAGCCTCCAGGGACCCCCACCTGGGCTGGTCCAGGAAAGGGAGGGGCTGGAAGCAGCCAGCCTTCTGCTCCATCAGGACTCTGAATCAGGGTTTGTCTTCACCATACTTGTTAGGCCAGAAATCTAGGGCCTGCCTCAACACTCTTGGAAGACCCTACCTGCCACCCAGCCTTGCCCGGGGGGGAGCCGGCACTGTGTTAGAGATGCCCCAACTTTATCCATCCCCCAAACCAGGGCAAGCTCAGCTTTTGGTTTTTTTTTTAAGTACTGGGGGATTGAACTCAGGACCTCAAGCACACTAGTTAGACTCTACCGCTGAGCTGTACCCCGAATCCTCTTTGTCCCTATTTTGTTTTGAGACGGGATCTCGGTTGAACTGCAATCCTCCCTCAACCCCCCGGGTTGCTGGGATTATATGGGTCTGGGTCACCATATCTGGCTTCGACGTCAGCCCTAGGTGGCGTTATAGATGCCAGGGGCAGGAGAGTCTGAAGGTTAGGGTGGCTGTTGGGAGGAAGGACTTTGATGCTGTTAGGCTCCCTGGGCGCACATCGGGCTGGGGTGTTGACTGGTGTTTCTCTCCCTCAGAACCTCAGCTGATAGGTAGGACCCCAAGGCTGTGAGTAAGCGCCCAGTCTGCCGCCTGGCACACACTGAACTCTCAGTGTGGCTGTTGGCTCTCGTGGCAGGGTTGTGACAGTGGGGAAGCCAGATCGTTGCACAGACCTAACCTGTGCAGGCCTCACCACTGGCCAAAGGAACCATCATGTCTGCCTCCCTTCCTGGCCTCAAGTCACAAATGCTCACATGGTGTGTATGGGCGCCCCCGGACCCAGCCACCTGCTGGAAAACAGAGAACTGCCTCTTCAAACTAATGATTAAGAATCGGCATGGACTATTCAAACCGAAACTCCCCAAACCTCTCTCTGGAGGGCTTTGCTCTTCTACAGCCCGTGGGTGAAAAGCTCTTACCGTAGTGGAAAATGTATTCTGCCGAAACGGAAGCCTTCCTCAATTTAGCTGAATCACTTTCTGGTGGTTAGGGAAGTCCGGGTCACCTCTTACCCTGTCCCCTGATGCCTGTGGACTTAGCCAGGCTGGAAGACCCCAGTCCATATCACCCCTCTGGCAGGAGCCATGTCTGTCTGAGACCCAGCCCCTGAGACTCTGAGACTCCCCACTGCTTGGGCATCCCCTTATATCTGCTTCCTGCCCGCAGGCGGAATCCAAAGCTCTGCACATCCACACCAGGGGTGTATCTAGAGATGAGAACAGGCAGGGATATGGGGAGAGACCCAGGCACACCTGGTAGCTCCCATGGGCCCGTGCTATCTGCCTGGGCCTCTTGTGAAGCTTCTAGAACATGGCAGGTACCAGGACCCCAATCCTGTAGTGATCAGGGTCTAGAGGTCTCAGAGGGGCTGGTTGCTTAGGTGGTCCTCAAAGAGTAGCTACAGAGTCAGCTTCCTGAAGCCAGGAAGAGGGCCTGAGTCTCATCTCGAGTCCCAGGAACCCAAGTCCATGGGCTGAGTCGCTTGGCCGAGGTGTGGCAGGTACTTGCTTAGCTGAATGGATAACACCTCTGGGGCTCCTGCACCCCCCCCCCTCCTGAGAGACCCGGGAAGAATCAGAGATGGAGCCAATTGAGCACCCTGCGGAGGGTCTTCGCTGTGCCAAGCTGAATTCAGGTCAGGGAAGCTCTGTGGACCTAAAAAACCCAGTCCCCTCAGGGATGAGCCTGCTTGCTGCACCCCTGCATTTCCACTTGGACTCTTCCCCTGGGCTGTCTGGAGATGCAGCAGACACTGCCAGGTGTCCGGTCCCTTGGCTGAGCTCAGGCCTCTGGTGAGAATCGGGGTGCTGATACCTATGGCCCAGGAGAGCTGAGAAAGAAAAGGAGGGCAAAGAACGCGTTTCTGGCAACGGGGGCGGGGGTGGGGGGACACACGTATGGGCGTGCCACAGAGGGTTGAGATCCTTAACACAGTCAGATCCAAGAACACCCAAGCTCACCTTCCTGAGCTTAAGGGAGGCAAGCCTGAGCTGCAGTCTAACCCCCAAGGGTCAGCCGCGTCCTGGATCAATGACTGGGGCTGTCCCGTGTCTCTCCTGAGCTTGGGCATTGACAGAAAGGAAGCAAGCCGGTTTGATGCGACCCCTGCCCCTCAAGGCCCCCCCTAAGGAGACTGCTGGCGACAACACTGCCTGAGACCTCAAACCAGCAAGCTCAGGGACACCCCCCGCCCCACCCCCCACTCCCTGCCTCCGACCCAGAGCCCTAGCCTGTCTCAGTGCCCAGCAGGCATCAGCCTGCCCTGCCCCCGGACTGTGTGGCCCAGAGCTCCCCAAGTCATCCCACACACACTTGGACCGGGTCCTTCACAGCCGCTGTCAGCCAACATTTGAGAAATTAGGTGAGGGGGCCTGGGACGAGGGTGAAGAAGGGAGCAATTTGTGTCCAAAAGTCATCCCAAAATCTTCAGCTAACTTTTTTTATTATTATTTTTCGAAAACAAAAGCTGTAAACGTTGGGGGGGTGTTGAACCTAGCTTTGTGGGAAATGAGTCAGACAGCCATAAAAAAATGTGTTTTTCTGAGCCGAGGGGATTATTTTACGTCTTGTGGCATGAGGACACCAAGGGGGAGCCGTCCTCTGGATCCCTGGTGGGGCTGCACACTCCGCTGGGGTTGGAAGTCAGTGTCACCTCCCTCCCAGAAGCAGATGAGTCCCGGGTGGCTCGGGTGACTGCCTCTCCCCTCTGCTCCCCCAAACTCACCTCTTGATTTTCCAAGCCAGTGTGAGGCTGCAGTAGACATGTAGTCTGACCACTGGGGTACACTGTGACGATCTTCCGGGGATCCCTTAGCTCCCTACACTCACCTTATGCAATCTGGGCGGGGCCGACCCCCACCTTTAATGTAGACAGGGGAGGGCGCGACTCGGCGTCGGCCAGTCGACGCCTTCTGTTCTCCTGGATACCCCGTCTGCCTCAGCGGACTGGCAGGGTCAGCTTCTGGTGCGGCTGACAGCTTGAAAGAAGGAATCTGACCGTCATAATGAAACCTGCTGCTTTGCAGCCTGAGTTTTGAAAATGATTTTAAAAGGAAACAAGGGGTTTGAGAACGTGTCCACATGCCAATTGGTGCTCAGCAAAACGGATTTCTTTCCTTCTAGCTTGCGTTTCTGTTGTTACGACAAAGCCAAGAGCCACTTAGGGGAGGACAGGGTTTGTTTGGCTTACACTTCCAGGTCACGGTCTGTCACTGAGAGAAGTCAGGGTGGGAACTGAAGCAGAGACCGTAGAGGGACAGAGTTTACTGTGGTCTCGGGCTCACTCCCAGCCACCTGCAAAGGAGCAGGACTACCCATAGTGGGCTGGGCCCTCCTACATCAGATAGCACTCAAGATAGTGTCCCACGGATATTCCCACAGGCCAACGCCGTGGAGGCAATTCTCCAAGTAAGGCTCGCACTCACCAGATGACTCACGGTCGTGACCAGCTGACAATAAAAGCCATCCCAGACACCTTCCTTGCAGTCAAGGATCATTCTTGAATGCTGGTGAATGAGAAACCAAAGATATGACCTGCTTCTTTGGAAGCCCTTTCCACGGTCAGGGGACAGACAAGTTCCTTCCAATGTTGACTGTACCCATCATCCCTTTCCCTGATTTGCCCCTCTCTCCCAGCTCTGTCAAGATCCACCAAAATGACCCAGCCCTCTCTTAGACCCCTGCCCTGTGTCTTCCCTGCACCCCAGTCACCACCGGGACCCGCTGACAGGCCGCGCCACTTGTGGGGAGACATGGAGGCAGGAGCTCACCGAGGACCCACACCACAATGGCTGGTCCCAGAAAGACACGGGTCCCACAGACTTACTTTCTCTTTTGGAGCAGTGGTAAAGGAGTCACCCTGAGTCATCTCACTCTCCATCGGATTACGTGCTTTCCTCCAGGGAAGTGGACAGGAAGTGGGCACCCATTGTCCTGCCCCAGGGCCCGTTCCTCTCCTGCAAGCTCCATATTGATCGCCCTTCAAGATCTCCCCGTCCCGTCCCCACACGTTCTGTGTAATTTGAGTGGAGCTGACCTACTCAAAGGGAGGGTTGGCCAAGCAACATCTTCCTTTCTCCTGTGTATAGGGGCTCGATGGATCGCCCGTCCAGCGATGAACTAAGGACCCAGTAGAGCTCAATTCCAGAACTTGTATTTTTTTTTCCCTCTTGGGACGAGGTCTCAACCGGAACTCAACTATACAGCTCTAACTCAAAGCAATCCCTCTGCATCAGCTTCCAGGGTACTGGCATTGCGTATATGAGCCACCACACACAGTCGAGGACTTCGGGTGGGATTGCTCGCAAGTTAATCAGAGGGTGTCTCTTTGGAGAGCTTGAGTTATTGTAAACCCCCCCCGCAACCAGATGGAGATGGAAGCCAAAACAAAGGCTGGAAAAAAAAGGGAGTGAGGGGCCTCCAGATGACATAAACACCCAAAGACACAGCCTGTTGTCTGATATTTTCCTATTGTACCGGGTCCCGTGTCTGAGTCCCCAGCACAGCTCAGTGTGAGAAGCTTTGCGGGGAGTAGCTATGCCACGTGTCCTAATCTGCTTGGGCCACTCAAGCTGGGATTTGGGGACACTTGTTGCTTGATTGGTTGTTACTTGAGACAGTCTCGCCATGTGGTTGCCTTCTAAGTCACGGCTCCCTCTGCCTCCTCCTAAGCAGCTGGGACTACTGGTGTGTGCCACCAGGCTGGGTGGGGTTCTGTGAGCATTTCTAAGCCACTTATGGGGTTAGTGGCTGAGAGCGTGGCTCAGGAACAACTAACTGGTACTTCACGTGGTCCCTAGAAGGACCTCCCTTTGAGATGGATTGGGAGCAGGCTTCATGATGCTCTGATTATTAAATTTAGAGGAAAAAAAAGATCTAGTGCAATATTCCTTCCCCTTTATCATCCCATCTGTTCCAAGAGGCCCTTGACATGCCCAGGGAGGGAGCAGAATGGGTTAAAGCCCTGGATATCAGTATTTCTGACCACAGAGCATAAGCCCCGTGAGGACAGAGATCTGATCAAATGTGGCTGAGTCCCCAGCGGGCCCTCGGTGAATACTGGCGAATGAAGAAGTGTCTGAAAAAAAAATAAAAGAAAAGAAAAAAGAAAGTGTCTGCACCCCAACTTTCTCTTGCTCAGTAACCATCAATGTTCCCCACCCCACCCCCAGCTGCCATCAAAACACTAAACCTAGGCTCCTGGCTCTTGCCTTGTATGCGGAGTGACTGCGTCATTCACAGGACAAGCAGGGACGCATTCCTCAAGTCAGAAGGGATGCTGTGAACAAGTAAACAGAATGACAACAGCAGGCCAGATCTGACCGGGGTAGGCAGGGAGGCGTGGCTGCCCCACCTGCCTGGCCCCTAGGGAGCTGTGTCCATCTTTCTCTCCAGCCATTCCCGGACCCTTCCCCTCACCTCCCAACCTTCCATTGCGAGTTTGCCCGGCTCCTCTACCCAGAGAAGTCCTTTGAGCACGTGTCCCCCTTGCACGGAGCTCTGTGTCTGAGATCCCTTCACAGAGGCAGGTAGGGAGGGTGCACTGAATTTTTACCAGGTACCCGTCAGCCTCTGAGGAAGGGCTTATGTGTCTCCAAGGGTAAACCGAGGCACACTTTATCTGGGCTGGTACAGGGAGCAAGGAAAGGGAAGAAAATGCCGCCTATGAGGCCCCCTCAGGAGTAAGAGACACTTTCACCCCGGTCCCCCTCTCGTTTCATCGGAGAAGGCTTGAGGGGCTGAGCCGGAACGGAGATTACAAACCACCTTCCCCACCCCATCTCCGGGCTGGAATTCCCAGTAGACAGGCAGGGTTTGCGCAGACAAAAGGCGTCGCTGCATTTATTTATGATTTGCCTAATTGTCTCTGTCCTCCTCGATCCTGCAGCCCCATAAACTTATCACAGTCGTGTTTGTCGTTAGGTGCTGGCTCGCCATGTACACGCATGTGGATGTTTGTTTGCAGAATGTGGCCAGCAGCAGGGCCTTCCCGCGGGCTGACACCCCCCCCCCCCGTTTGGCTGCCCCAGGGGACTGGGCCCCCTCCAGGACTCCTAGACAGATTACTTCTTTCAACTCTCCCCCCCCCCCCCGCCCGCCCGCCCCACCAAGCACTAGGGATGGAACCCAAGACTTTGCACAAGCTAGACCAGCACCACACCCCTGAACCACGCCGCTAGCCCCTCATTCCAGGCAGGGGCTCCGCTAAGCACCTCTCTAGGTATTGGACATTGATCAGTCAGGATCCTGGATAAAAATCAAGGTCACCTCATCTCATCCAGTAGAGGGCTGTTAACAATGGGATCGGTTAGAGGGGCCGAGAAAGTGTTCTCAGGAACTAGCCATAGCTGCCATTGTGGTTACCTGTACCGCTGAAAAAGAAAGGGGAGGAACCAGAGCTCACAGGCCCAGTGAGAGCTGGAAGACAGAGCCCTGGGCTAGGCAGGGCGATATCTTTAGGGAGACCTAAGAGGCACCCCGACCTCTTTCCTGTATCTCTCAGGTAGCCTTCTACTGCTTCACATGGCAAAGACCAATAGGAAGCCACAGGGCATGGGAGAGTCTCAGTGCCAGGGACAGGACGTGTACAGGGTCAGGGACGACCGAGGAAAAGCGGGCGTGAGTGAGCAAGGTTTCGAGGGAACATTCTACGTCTTCTGGTCCTGTCCCCAAGTATCTCTTGAGCCCACCATGTCTGAGCCGTGGAGTCGCATTAGCTTTGGCCTGACTGATGCTCAAGGTACCCACCATGATCCAGAGTCTCCTCCGTACCTCAGTAGACTGGTCCTCTTGTTGCTGAGACATTGCCTGACTACGTAGTCCAGGCTAACCCTAGCTCACTCACAATCCTCCTGCCTCAGCCTTCCAAGACCTGGGATTAGAGGTGGGCACAGCCACGCCCAGCAGAGCAGTCAACCGTAACTTCAATGCACTCCGTGGTTCTCTGTGCTTCTGGGCTTCGGATCAGATCCCAAGCACGTGTGTGTTAGAGCACAGCAGTCCGGCCAATCCTCCGGCTCGCCTCTGGTCTCCACATTTGACCTTTTCCAGTCCTTTGCTGTGTCTTAGAAACCCCAAGACAGGGTTTCTCTGTGTAGCTTTGGAGCATGTCCAGGCACTCACACCGTAGACCAGGCTGGCCTCGAACTCACAGAGATCCGCCTGCCTCTGCGTCCCAAGGGTTGGGACTAAAGGTGTGCGCTGCCACTGTCGTCCAGCAACCACATCTGAGTTTTGCATGTGTCGTTCACTCTGCCCATATTCTCTCTCTCATCCATCCAGACCTCTGATGGCCTGCGTGTACACCCTCTCCGGACATCAGCTTGAAATCCCATCCCTACAGATGACTTTCACGAAGCAGGGAGAACTCCCAGGTCTGTGACTCTCGCCACCCTCGAGTTTCTTGCCTTCACTATGTGTCACAGCTGCAATGAACTAACCGATTGTGTAACTCTGTTTATTTTCTGTCTCTGCAGAGAAGACTGTGCACTCCGCAACAGCCTGCTCTGTGTGGGTCAGGTGTGCTGCCGGAACCCAGCAAACACTCATGGAATGGATGAAGAAAGGGCTTCAGATTCCTGGTACACTGCCGTGCTAGACTGCTTGGGTCCCTCTTGATAAAAATGGCTTCGAGGATTGGATAAGATCCTTGTAATTCACTAACAGCAGTGAAGGGAATTGCCAGGCCAAAACCGAGGCAAGAAGGAATCTTGGCGGGTAAAGACGAGGAGAGGATGGTGTTTTTCCCCCGAAGCTTTTTCTGATCATGACAAACCTCAGTTTTATTTTGTTAACCTTACAGAAAGGGAGACAGCAATCAAACCTTAGGGCTGACACGAGGCGGGGCATAGAATAAATCAGATGCCCATCCCACACTGACGTGGGACTCCAAGGGGACACACCCTCAGTGTAAGGGTGAACCAGACGCAAACGATGGTCTTGCAGACCGGTCTTCTGCCTCTTGGGTAGATCTCAGGACCTTAAAGTTGGGTCAAGGTGGCCTGAACTGGCAACATTCCCAGATGTTTGGCTGGAGCCAATGAAAATGCTTCCCCACACGCAGGTGGGAGGAGCATCTGAGGGGAGTGGGAGGGTGAGGTTAGCGGGGTGGATAATGTACACACATATGAAATTGTCAAAGAATAAATAAAAGTCTAAAAAAATGCTTTCTGGGGACTGGAGAGATGGCTCAGTGGTTAAGAGCGCCGTCTGCTCTTCCAGAGGACCCAGGTTCAATCCCCAGCACCCACATGGCAGCTCACACCTGTCTGCAACTCCCAGATCTGACACCCTCATGTAGACATACGTGCAGACAAAACACCAATGCACGTAAAATAAAAAGTAAGTAGATAATAGCCGGGCGCTGGTGGCACGCGTCTTTAATCCCAGCACTCAGGAGGCAAAGGCAGGCGGATCTCTGTGAGTTCGAGGCCAGCCTGGTCTACAAGAGCGAGTTCCAGGACAGCCTCCAAAGTCACAGAGAAGCCTTGCCTTGAAACTCCCCCTTCAAAAAAAGAAAAGAAAACAAGGCATCACGACCCAGCACTAGAAGAATAAACAAAACGGAAATAACCTTCAGAGGACCCAAATTCCCGGCTACAATTATGCGTATAGTGTTTAAAGTGATAAAGCATGTTTGAGACCAACTGAAAAACGGGATTGTGTCAATGTGTGCTTGGAGGCTGAAGCAGGAGGGTTGCAAATTCCACACTAGTGTGGCCCACTTGGGGACATCTGTCTCAGCAAACAGCGGCAACAAAAGCTGAAGCAGACTTGAAAAGCAATGAAGAAATTTCATCTCTAGAAACGAAACGACATTAACCCAAATCAAGAACGTTCAATGGTCATGCTGATTAAAACTTTCGAAGGGCGGAGAGGGTCAAAGGCACTGGTTGCTCCTCCAGAGGATCCAGATTCAATTCTCAGAACCCACATAAACGCTCTTGACCATTTGTAATGTCAGTGGGGGGGTTCTGACGCCCCCCTCTGACCTCTTTGGGTACTGCAAACACAGTACGCAGACACACGTATAAGCAAACAGTCATATACTTGAAATATTAATAAATAGACAAACAAACAAACAAATAAAAATACTTTTGAAGACAAGAACCAGTAAACTAGGGAAGCCGCCGGAAGAAACTTATCACAAAGGCATCAGATACCATCAAAAGGAAAGTGCAGAAGATACGATTTAAAGAGAGACTATATATTTAGCAGTGTCTGTTAAAGAGATAGGGAAGAAAACACAGCAAGGATGACGGCTCTTTTGTTTGTTTGTTTGTTTGTTTGTTTGTTTTTATTTCATTTCCATCCATGTGAAGGTGTTGGGTCCCCTGGAACTGGGCAGTTGTGAGCTGTCACGTAGGTGCTGGGAATTGAACCCAGGTCCTCCGGAAGAACAGTCAGCTAACCACTGAGCAATCTCTCCACCCTCCAGTTCTCTTTGTTTGTTTTGTTTTTCAAGACAGGGTTTCTCTGTGTAGCCTTGGCACCTGTCCTGGAACTCACTCTGTAGACCAGGCTGGCCTCGAACTCACAGAGATCCGCCTGCCTCTGCCTCCTGAGTGCTGGGACTAAAGGCGTGTGCCGCCACCACCACCGCCCAACCTCAGTTCTTTTATTTTTAAGATTTAACATTGTATGTGTATGTCGGTGCACCATGAGCATGCCTGGTGCCCATGGAGGCCACAAGAGGGTATTGGATCCCCTGGAACTGGAGTTACCATGTGGGTGCTGGGAATTGATCCAGGGTCCCTCTGCAAGGGCAGCCGGTGCTCTTAACCACAGACTTATCGCTCCAACCCAAGGATGATGTTTTTAAGGACTGGTAGATAAAGAACTTTCTGGAACTGATGACTATGAAGAGAAGCACTGATTAGTAATGCTTTAGCAAATCTACTCTCATCCATGTTTCACAGGACCCAGAGCTTTAAAAAAAAAGAAACTCCTGGGAGATTCTGGAAGAAGTCTACCCTTGGCCCGAAGCCACTATGTTGAACAATAGAAAGAGAAATAAATGTAGCAGAGATCAAAGACTGAAGGATTGACTTGCTTGCCTTCTACCAAGCTATGTGAACAGCCTGACCTCAGCGCCCTGCCCCGTTCTTCCTCTCCTCCCTCCTCTCCTCCCATGGGTCCTGGGGACGACTCATTCCTAGCCACGGAGACTAGGAGTCCAGTGGTCTGGGTTGGAGGTGGAGAAGGTACAGCTCCCGCCCAGCGCTGAGGGTGACACACCCCCATCCTGGACCCTGCTCCCCTTCTGGTCTCTAGTTTCCCCGGTCCGTCTTGGCTGTGGGGTTGGGGTGCGAGGGGCACATGGTAGGCACAGCCACTCTCTGCAGCCTAAGAAGTCACCAGCATGCCATCCGAGGGTTCTCAGCCCCAGTGCTGGCTGAACAGCACTAATGCCCTTTATTACCCAGCCCGTCAGCGTCACCTAGGACCCGGCTGGCAAGAACCCAGGATCTGGGCTCCAGAGGCTGGCAGGGATTACCCAACCTGGGTCCTGCAGTCCCCTTCCCTCCCAACCCTTCACTCTCTTGGATAGGCGAACAATCTGGCTGGCAGCTGGTCTGTTTGTTTCTGACTCATTTTTCCCTCTCAGTGGCCAGGTGGCTGGGTCCGTATCCTCCTCCTTGTGTGACTTGTCCCTGGGATCAGGTTCTTGCGGTTGTTGTGTTTTGGAGGAGCACCATTCATCATCTCCGCCTCTGGGAATCCCGGCACACCTCTCAGACATGCTCAAACAGAGAGGCTGCCAAACCTGCATACGGTCACACAGCAGGTGTGCGTGGGGGCCAGGGCACAGACGGTCTCACGCTCCCAAGTGCGTGAGAATGCAGGCTCAGCCCTAGTGTGGCCAGCATCGTGGCCAAGGCACTGTGAGAAGCATCTCGTGGAGTCTCAAGGACACCCTGTTGTCACCACACCAGTTCCAAGGGCTGGTTCCATGGGCAGGCAGAAAGAGATGGCCAGCTGGTCGCCCGTGATGACTGA